TAATATTCTGATTCTGCAGGGAAGACGCGGCCCGTAGGCCCGGGTATTTATTTACTCATCTCTTCGCACCGGGTGGACTCCGTTAGAACCCAGCACCTCGGGATTGCTGTGGCTCCAAATCCTTCCAGCCTCTGGACTCAGGCCCCTTCTGGGCTGGGTTTTGTTTTTGTTTTTTGTTTTTCTTGGTTGTTTTTAGGCCTGTTTTTGTTTTTAAAAAAAATCTGTTTTCCTTTTCTGGCGCAACAGGACACGTGAGTTCATCTGCCTTTCCCCACTCCAGCCCCCGGATCAACCATTTCTCCCAGGAGCCCTGAGAGGCGATGAGCAGAGCCTGGGGCCCATCTGAGCCACCCGGACAGCAGTACCTGATTCATAAGACGCGGCTGCTGCCCCAACGCCCCGCAGGCTCTGCAGACACACGTGGGCAGGGCTCCCATCTCTCAAATGGGCGGCAGCTCCGAGTGAGGACCTGCCCAGGATGCGGGGTCGGGGGGGGGCAGAGCCGTGGGAGAACCGGGTGGGGTCTGGTTCCCTGACTCCGTGCTGCCTCCTCACTTGAGGGGTCTCGGGGGGAGGAAGATGAAGCAGGGAGTCCAGTCCCCTCCCCAGAGCCCACAGGCCATGCGTGGACGAGGCTATGGGCAGAGTCTTTGGCACTGGCTTCTTCCTGAACCAACACGGGCCCCGCGCGGACGCCCGGCGTAGACAGTCCGCAGTGTCAGGCTGTGTCAGACACGTCACACACAGGCCCGTGGCCAGAGGAGCAGGGCCCGGGCAGAGGAGCAGGGCCCGGGCAGAGGAGCAGGGCCCGGGCAGCCTCTGTGCTGGCTGCAAAGGGTTTCAGAGTCCGGAGCCAGAGCCAGGAACACAGCGTGCGCCTGAGGACGGAAACCCCACTGTGGAGCTCGGAGCCCCAGACACACGAAGGAGGAAACTTTGCAAAGTCCTTCTGCCTAGTTGAGCTTTAAATGCTGCATGTGCACCATGATGGGATGGCAGAGAGGTGGACCTCAGCTCAGCAGGAGCTTCATGGAGCAGGCAATGAGAAGGATTCCGAGGTTACGACAGGGCTCATGATAAACACTGCTGTGCCCACTAGTGTGCCCGCCCTGGTGGGAGATGATGAGGGGGTGGGTCTGGTGGTAATGTTCCATTAGTGATGTCTGCCCTGGGTGTGGGATGGGAGGGTTATGGGACGGGGGTCATATATTTGCTCAGTGTTCCATTAGTGATGTCTGCCCTGCTGTGGGATGAGAGGGTGTGGCAGTGTTCCATTAGTGATGTCTGCCCTGCTGTGGGATGAGAGGGTGTGGTAATGTTCCATTAGTGATGTCTGCCCTGGGTGTGGGATGGGAGGGTTATGGGACGGGGGTCATATATTTGCTGTCCCTGGATTAGATGATCTCTCCTGTCCTTTTCAGCAATTTCTTTTCAGGATTCTGAACTAGAAAAATAAAGACGTATTTTCAAGGCTATGAACCATCAGTGGTGCTGGGCCACAGCATGACAGAGTAATAAAACCTGCAGATGACTTCCTAGATGGCAGAGCCATGGGCTCCAGGAAGGTGCCAGGAGGTGGGGTGCCTAAGTCTGCGAGGACCCTGCCCCCTGCTCCTCGCACCACCGCAAGCCTGAGGCCACTTCTCACAGGCTCATTGCCAGACGGGCTCACCCACCTGTCACACTGGCTGCCTTCCACGTTCTCTTTGCAGGGGCAGCGCCCACTGCGGGGGTCGCAGGCGCCCAGGCTGCCGGCGGGATGGCAGGTGCAGGGTCTGCCAAGGAGACAGGACGTGGGGAAAGGTGAGCGACTCCAGAGAGGAACAGCCCATCCTCCTGGGAAGGACCCTCCACTCTCCTCACTCCTGAAAGGACAGGGGGCAGACGGGCCCGCGAGCCTGCATCCCCCGTTCACTGCTCCCCCCTCGCCAAGGAAGTGACCATCCGCTCACCTGAACAGCAATCCATCTGCTGACCCACCACTCTTCCGTCCATCCATTCATCCGTCCACTCACTCATCCATCCATGCACCTTCCATCCACCCATCCATCCAGTCCAAATGCCCCGCCATGTGCCCCTGCTGGGCCGCCCACACCCACGGCGTGGCCGCCTCACCTGCAGCCTCCCTCGCTGAGCGAGTGGAATCCGGGCAGGCAGCGGTCACACTTCCAGCCCGTCACGGTGGCCTTGCAGGTGCAGGTGCCCGAGTCGTCACACTGCAGGCGCAGGGAGCCTGGGGTGGGGGTGGGGGGAAGGACACAGGGCATCAGGGGCTGGAATGGGGCGAGCCTAGTGGCTGGGGCAGCAGGGCCCACTCACCTGCCGGGTGGCAGTCACATGGCTGGCAGGGCATCCAGGGCTTCCAGCGGTAGAAGTTCTCCTGGCAGAGCTGGCAGCGCGGCCCGGCTGTGTGGTTGCGGCAGTGGAGGCAGCGCCCACCGTGGCCCGTGCTGCGGAAGAGCTGCTGGTCGAACACGCACTGCTCGGAGTGGCCGCTGCAGTTGCAAGCTGTGGGCAGGAGGTGGGGGTGTCAGCGGCCGTGGCATGTGGCAGGATGGGAGTCCGTGCCAATCAGCCTCCTTCTGTGGAATGAGCAGGCAGCTTGGGGAGGGTCATAAATGGAGTTCAGGCCCGGCTTGATCAAGGATATGGAGACCAATGGATTGATCTTCCAAAACAGGGTACTTTTATGAGCAGAGGGGGCACCATTAATAAATATCCCAAAACACAGGGCCCTCTGAGGCAATCGAGGAGGGACAGTCACCTGGTCATGAATCAGACAGGCCGCCTGGGAGTGGCAGTGTGGCTCACTCCAGGATCGCTTGTGGATCTGTGTGAACCTGGTCCCCAGTGATCATGGGGTAACTGAGAAGCAGGAAAATCCACGTCACCCTTCATTCACTCGTAGATTCATTTAAAACAACCTACGTGCTAAGGATGGGCTCTGTGATGACTCCTGTGGTGAGCAGGGCAGGGGCGGGGGAGCCATGAGCAGTATGATCCCGGCTCCCGCGCACACTGCACACTGACGGCGGCCAGATGCAGCCACCCGCGCACACCCTGCGGGGGGCGGGTGCTGGGGGCTGAGGAGGGGCCCTACAGCTGTCCTGGGGACAGTGGCAAGCCTTCTCGGAGGGAGTCACAGCTACAGGGGCATCTGAGGGGTGAGCAGGAAGGAGCTGGCTGCTGCAGGAGGGGACGGGAGGGAGGGGAGAGTCCCAGGCAGGAGGTGAGAGCAGAGATAAACTGTGGAACCAGAGAAGAAGATTCACGCAGCGTCTGTCCTGTGTAGGGCAGGGAGGAGGGTGGGGACGCTGTGCAGTGTGACAGGACAGGGAGGGGGCAGGGCCAGCCCAGAGGGCTAGAGGTCGGCTTGACCCGGAGGCTGGGCAGTGAACTCCTCCTTGGGGCGAGGGGCTGTGGGGGGTTAAGAGGGGAATGCAATCACACTTGCACTTTCAAGAGCCCCCAGGGCCGCAGGCAGGGAGAGCAGGAGGGAAGCCGGGCCAGCAGGGAAGAGGGGGCTTGGGCACCCAGGGAGGGGCGATGGGGCACTGGCTGCAGAGAAGGACACAGGTGGGCTGGAGGGATGCGGACCAGGCTGGATTTAGGGCTAAGGGGCTGCTGGGACCGGGGAGGTGGGAGGTCAGGCACGAAGCCCCCGTTTCCAGGCTGGTGACTGGGGTGACAAAGATGTGACCACAGGGGTGAGGACGTGGCCAGAGCAGCATCTGGCCTTCTGTGTCCTCACCATGGAGACGGCTCCAGGCTCGGAACAAGTGAGCCAGTCAGCACAGCTTCCTTGGCTGTGGGAGGACTCCCTGGTGGAGGCAGGCCAGCGAGGGCAGCAGGAAACCATTAGGGTCCCGGCACCCTGTCCCACGGAGTAGGCTGTGCCCGCCCTGTCCCAGCTCTAGCAGCCAGTGACCCGACCCAAGAGGACAGGGGACCCAGGGCCCAAACTCCTGCCTGCGGCGGCTAAGCCCACTGGGAGCCGGTGCTGGTGACACCTGCTACGCACCGGACAAGTGATGATCAGGGAGACAGGCTGGGGCACCAGGCTGGGAGGAAGGTGGTGGGTCCCCCCACCCACCCCGTGCGTGCACAGCCCCGTGTCCCTGGAGAAGGGCTGACAGCCCCGTCCCCTCCCCATGTGGTCCAAGCCACATCACAGGGGCGGGAACATGGCGGGCTGCCGGGGGCTGTGGGACAGGCTGGGACCAGGGTGGCCTGGCTTTCATTAGCAGCTGCGGTTGCAGCAGTTGAAACAAAGGAACAAGTTGGGGGACCTTCCCAGCCCTCCCACAACAAACACCTCCACTGGGGGGGACTTGGTCGGGGGGGGGTGCGGTGGGGGG